ACCTGCTAAAGGAGAAACTTAACATATATAGAGTTACTAAACTTAACAATACTTACAACCAATACTCATGATCCCCACAGGAAAGTATCTTCTAAATAACCTATCTACTTTCTGTTTTCTGATTTAGCTTTGTTCAAACAATTCATGCATAGAAGTCTACTCATCTGCTTAACTCATTGGACCACAATCGTGTCCTGTAAAAGGACTCATCACTTTAGTCTAGCCACCCGTAAAGACAAGGAGACTCTAATTTGGTAGTTTTGTAGTTGACACCTGGGAATTTACAGATAATTAAATCAGATGAGTTGTATTATCAGTAAGGATAGGTTGAGCATTTGCTGTGAAGGAGAAAGGGAAAGAATATTTGGACACTGGCTGTAACACCAAAGGAACGGGAGTCAGTACTGGGCATCAGGGCACGGTGGCCACAGGCAGTAGCAGGTGAGACACAAAGCTTACACCTGTAACTCATCTGACCACAGCACAAGAGCCAGTGTCTACAGAGCCCTGATGAGGTGGGCACACTTTCCATGTGTCGATACCAGTGGCTCAGGAAGGAAAGAAGTTGGTGGGATCTGGGAAAGCGACTTAGCTCTCATTTTTATCCCAGAAAATCCTTCATTGAACCCAGCAAGTTTATGTGAAAAGGATAAGGTATTGTCTCTAAAAGGCAGACCAGGGTGAATGGAGAAAGACAGGGAAATTGTACTGCTTGGTGGACTCAACTGAATAAGCATGAGGCCTCAGAATGATTTGGCCAACAAAATCCCCTGTCTGTATCTACATTGGACATTCCTGTCTGGTCCAGGCATCCTGAAGTCCTGCGCACAACGTAAGAGTGGCATTCCCAGCCTGAGACCTCCCTGCCCTTCCCTTTTCCGTAGGCATTAGCAATCCGTGGTGAAGAAAGTGGAAAACACAGGTAAGTGCCCAACCGCTGGCTAACATCTCTGTACACATAGGCATGGAGAAAGCAGCTGAGCTGGAGTTACTGGTGAAAATTTTATGCAGCCTATAACATTGGGGGAGAAGTGAGAGGTACGGAAACAGCCTGAGGGGTGGTAAGAAGAGAGGGTCTGGTGATCAGGTGGGTGAAGGCAGGAAGGCCTAGGGACAGCGAAGGCTGAATACCAGCTGAGCAGAGCTTTCTCAGGACTTTAGACCAGCCAGGTCCAGGTGAATGTGCACTAGACAGGCCAGCCTCAGGGGGCCCAGGCAGAGTGGCCAGTAGGTGATGGTTTGCCCAATACCCTGCAGGAAAGTGGCCAGTTTTATGTCAAAATTTTTAATCTCTAGATATTAGAAACTAATGCTAAACTTCAAAAAGAAGGCAAAGAGGAGCTTACAGAAATAAATATGTAGACCAGTGCTCCACATATACAAGTATTTCTGAACAAATGAGTAGTAAATTAACAATGACTAATTTGTTCAGTCTTGGTGATACTATGTCCCAAGATATATTTTGCCATTATTCAAATTATCTGTATATTTCCTGCATAAAATAAATTCTATTTGATGGGAAAATAAGTATTCACATTAAGAAAACACATTGACAGACTAGACATAGGTATAGGGCCTTGAGTTATCAATCGGTGCTCAAATACTCATTGTCTAGTGGAGAGATAAAATGGGAGACTAGGTAAGAGCTGTACACAGGGAAATGTGCCCAATGCCCTGCAAAGTAAGAGTTGGAAAAGATTCTTCTTGGCAAGGGCTCAGTGGGTTAACCCATGACTCCTTCAATGGCACTACAGACCTAAAAAGTTGGGAACAGAAAACTCAAGAGGAGCTCAGGAGCATGGTTAATCATTTCTCCTGAAACTTTCTCCACCTGGAACCTTGTAAGGCAGTACCTGGCCCCTTGAAGACTGTGCTGATGCTGGAGAAATCAAAAGAAACCCATTCAATCTCTAAAGCCAAAGGCCTATTGCCTACAGCTGCTACTTCCTCCCTGGGGAAAATGCATGGCGTGGAACCCCCAGAAAGAAAAAAGCTGTCTTTGTCCCAACAGCCCCCAAACTGAGTTTTCACAATCAAGCCCCGCCCAGAACACTGTGCCTGGATATCAACTAGTGCTCAGAGGACCAACAGCCAGAGGGGAAGCCTTCACTTCGCTTGCTTGTCTTCCAGTCATACTAAGCCAGATCCTACAGACGCTGAGAAATAAACACATATACGCGTCTTGACTTTAAGATCCAAGCACAAAGCCCACATGCTGCGTTAGACCTCCCCCCGCCCCCCCCCCC